CAGTGCTTGCAGTAATTGCAGTATTCGTGCTTGCAGTATTTTTGCAGAAAGCACTGGAACGCGGACTTTGTGGTGTGAACCGGCCCTAAAGAAACATCTAAAAGGCGAGAAATATTTTTTTTTTAAAACATTTTTCAGGTATGTTGTGTGACTAGGAACCCATAACAAACATATGGAGGGATTTTCTAAAATTTGACTGCAAAATTGGAAATGCACTTTAAAAGCCAGACTTTTTTTGGGGGCCTTCTCTTTTGGGTCACAGGAGTATATTTACTAATGTACTCCTGAAATCCAAAGTCAGCAGATGGCAGGATTTGACTCTCTATCAGCTGACGGCGCACAGACGTGCTGCAGATGAGAAGGATTCTGACTATATTGTCAGGATCCACCTGGCTACCTGACGACTAGCTCCCCCACCAATCCATACCCTCCCCTGTCTGTAGCTCCAGCCAGCGCTGTAGCAGCGGAGAGGGGAGGGGGCAATCCATACAGGGGGCAGAGACTGCAGTCTCTGCCCCCCTGCTGAGAGCAGAGACCAAGAGCTCACTGATCAGCAGTCAGTTCTCTGTCCTAGTGCTGGTGTGTGACAGCTGCAGTATCCCACTTCAACGCTTAAGTATTCGGGAGAGTATGTTTTACTCTCCCCATACTTCTCCTTTAAGTCTGAGGCTGGCTGGCCTTTTAAAATTGCCTGTATTGATCTGTCTTTGACATATAAATGCAGTCTCTTTTTAGGACAGGCAGCGCAATGTTAACTTGTAATTGTAATTTCCTTTTGTGCTTACTCAGGTCTGACTTGTGACTTGCATTCATTACCATTACACAGCACTCTTACTGTTCCCTTCCATCATAACACATAGAACAGGAAATAAACTCCCACTGCAGACTGCAAGGCACCTTCACAACTACGGCATCCTGCTGATGGAATGTCTTCAGTTCAGCCCTTGTCATTACGGCTAGTGGCTAGCTTACCATAGTTAGCAAGGCAGTGAAAAGAGCAGTGGTCATGGGCACAGTGCAATAACCCATAGCTACCAGTGTATGCCAATTTAGACCATTGAAAACTAACTCTGGTTGCCATAGGCTATTGGCTTTTAAACTTTGCAAACGCCAATTGTTAAATACATCTAGCCTGACCTTCTTTTTTTTTTTATTATTACATTCATGTAATGATAGATCTATGTTTATCCATAACATAATATGGTTGAAATTCCTGCTACATATGCTAATGGGTAGCTTCAAGTGTCTACTACAACTTTCGTTAAATATTACTTTACAAAATTATTCCTAGTGTTTTCCTTTAAGGATTTCATGTTCTACTTCCTTATCCTGGTGCTTAAAGCACACCTTGCCCTAAGCAGCAAAGATCACTTATTTAGGGCAACCTTTCTCAATCAGGGTGCCATGGAACCCTGGGGTGCCTTCTGGCTCCCTCAGACGTGCCACAGTATCATGAATTTCAATAGTGCAAGCAGGCCGGCCACCAGCACCATGGTAACAAATTCTGCTAATCTGAGGAAGGTGGGATCGATGC